CCCCAAAACCCCAAAACCCCAAAACCCCAAAACCCCAAAACCCCAAAATCCAAATAATTGAATATTAATAGTAAAATTTATGCTTAGTTTAAAATTAACTATTTAAATAAAGATTCAACTGAAATTTCAACATTCTATCTTACATAATTTAGTTCTATATTATTTAGATTTGCTCAAATAGCTAGCTACTTAATCAAAAATTTTCTAACATTTGCTAATCAATCAATCTCTTGACATAGTCCATATCAACTTTAAATTTCAAAAGGTAGCTTTTGTTTTCCTTCTCACTGTTAGCTATCAAAAATATGGAATCATTTTGAATTCCTTTTAGACTTTAATCTATTAAAACATGCTATTAAAACTTAATGGCATAGTAATTTTTATAGAGTTCTATTTTAGAATCTTTTATAAGTCTTGCTTCTAAAATACTTGGGTAGCTTGCATTTAATTTAAGCATAGCAAGCATGTTATCTTTAGCATAAGCTTGAATTTCATTACAAAGGAATTTATTTTATTTTATCTGCTCATTTTAATTCTAAATGTAAAAGCCATCTGCAATCTCATTTATCTGATGATCTTTCAATTTAATTATTGAAGTTTTACCCTCTTCAAGATTGCCAGTTACTTTAGATTCTTCAATTGTAACTAGTTAGATTTATACTGTTTCTTGATTGGAGTAATAAGGCAATTACTCACTAAGAAGAATATAATTACCAAATGAGCATATTATTCCCCATCCTATAGTTAATACTTCATGATTAATATTTAAAATCCTCTTAAGTTGATTTTTTCCAATTTTGTAAATTCTAGTGATATATTTGTAGCTGACTGCTAAATAAGCATTTTTAACTTGCCCAATACTGATAACTTCTTCAAAATTGTCTATTTTTAAATCCAGTATATCATTGTCTGTTATATTTTAGACTACCAATTATGAATTAGTTTTGGCTTCTTATAATAGCATAACCAGGATGTTAGTTGCAGAGAGATATGTGTAGTCTTATAAATTAGAATCTTAAAACTCCTACTCAAAGACCACTTTATTGAATTTGCTTGAATCTATAATTTTAATTCCAAAGTTTGTATAGGCTACAATTAGTTAACCATATTATTATAGACTTTTCCAGTGATTTGATTGAAATTGCTTATCAAAGAGGTATGTAGATGATTCTAATGAACAAAATTGATTTGGTACATCTTAGAATTCCTCTTCATTTATTATGAGATTATCATTTTTCTGATTAACTTATGGTTTTTAATTTGTATTAATTTATTATGGTTTTTACAGATCTTTGGATAGAGGTGTATTTTTAACTTTTGAATCTTAAAGGGTCTAAATTTACTATTTCTCTTTTAATTCCTCTTTACATTAATATTTTTTCATCAAAAATCTAAATATCTTTTCATAAATTTCTTTTTAATCCTACTATTAAGACAAGATAAGATCCTTTGTACTAGGAAAGATAAGCTAATCATATTTCTATAGTCTTAGTAAATGTGAAGTGAAATCGGCCATAAGTAAAGAATATTGATGAGTATATTAAATCAAAGAGTATTTTATTTTAAAATCTTTGTACAAGCAGTTCATAGTGTAGACGTTACCGTTTTAGAAGTATTTGACTTAATAATCATTCTTAAAGGTCATTTTATCCACATAAATATCATAGATAAATACATAAATAATTGGCTGCACTGGCTTTATCTCTTTCTTAACTAGCTCTTCTAAATCAACGACTTCTTCATCTGAATTCTTTTTATTTTTTCTGACAACAATATAAAATAAATCTTTATTTCCAATCTTCTTTTTGACTGCTTTTCCGCAGAAATGAACTAGCATCAATTTCAGTTGCTTAGAATTGTATTTCTAGTATCCTTCTCTGACAGAATTGATGATTTATTCTTTGGTTGGATTAAATGGCATAACATATGTTTCATAGTTCATTTAAGATTTGAATAAAAATTCTGGAGATAGTTTAGTCTTAAATGTGGATAGTTATTTGTTAAGATCTTAGTAGAAATCACATTTGATAAAGATACCTTAGTGGGTATAATTTTTGGCACTTGATTCTACCATTTGATAATTTGATACTTATTAAAATTAATGATTGCTAAAAAGGTTTAAATATTAAATTGAAGCAATAGAAACTCAAATTCTTAATCCACTATAAAGATTGCAATCTGGATTAAGGGGTTTTGGGGTTTTGGGG